TCTCGTTGGTGTCCAAATATCGATGGTGTACGCCTGTGATGTTTTGCTGGATCGTATACATTTGTTCAGATTCTAATAAGCTATAAGTTGCCAGTATTAAAAACATATATTGCTGGCTTACAACAGTTGTTGAAGATTTGTTCTAACTATGGTGCAGACTTTGACATCAAATATAATGCCAATAAGAGCAACAATATGATTGTTAACAGTAAAGAAGACAGACAATTAGTATTTCCTGAATTATTTTTAACCGGTGTTGCTCCTAAAGTGTGTCGTGAGATTAAATATCTTGGTCATTATATTGTCAATGATTTATCTGTCGACCTCAGACAGTGTGCAAGTTGTATGCACAAGCTAATAAGCTTGCTCGCAAATGTATCATGTGTTCAGTCAATGTGAACGTCGCTCTTGATAGAGCATTTTGCACTCCTTTGTATATTGCCCCCTTGTGGCGCTCCTAGAGGAAGAGCAATATGCAAGACTTAATGTGGCCTATAACGATGACATGAGACTACTTCTTAATCTTCCACGATGGTGCAGTAAGTGGCAGCCAAATGTTTTTAAATGTTAGTGTACCTACTTGCCCTGCCGTAATGCGAAATCATATCGATATATGTGCAGGTTCTCTGTCTCAGAAAATAGTATCATCCAGGCCTTGGCCACCCCTGATCTGAGCTCAGTCAGGTCTTCATCTAAACTGTGGGGCCACTGGCTCTCCTGCTTGTTTGTGGGTGCAGTGTATTGAATTGTGTAAATTTCTATGAAATTATATAATGTGGTGTTGGGTAATTCTTGTCTTGTATAATGTAGGGTATGTCTTGTATTGTATTATTTATATTGTATTCTTGTACATAGATGACTGTTTTGTGTGGTATGCTAGGGACTTTCTCTTTCCTTATTAAAGTCATTATTATTATTATTATTATTATTATTATTATTATTATTATTATTACTATTAATAATAGTAGTGGTAGTATTGTTCTTCACTAAAGCACAATGTAAAGTGTTTGGCCAAAGATGCTGTGTTTGTCGTTTCAGACTGAGCACAGTGTCCTGTATTGTTTCCGTCACCAGAGGGAGACACAGCTCAGTTTATCATTGTTGAAGCTTTATATTCAGAAGCAGGTGTATATTGTTCACTTTTAACCATACACGCGATCCAGTCAATAGAAATAGTTTTACTTAATCTCAATCGTATATTTTAAGTGAGTAAATGACCAGTTCTTCCTTAATTAGAGCTATAAAGTGGATTTTAACATACCCGTTCGTACTGATGGCTGATTGGGCAGTAGCACATCACGTGACCAGAAATAGCATGAACCCACACTAACTCCCGTAACGTTTTGTAATAAAAGTCTGCGATCGGATGCATTTTTCCGTTGCCCATCAGTCATAAGACATCAAACTGCGCTTTCACAATTTGTTGGTGTGTTTTTGTAGCCATAGAAATCATATTGAACCGCGAGTTAGTGTCACAATGAGGAGAAGGAGTCTCCCACTTGACTCGTTAATCAGCATCGCTTCTCGGCCTTTTGGCTAAGATCAAGTGTAGTATCTGTTCTTATCAGTTTAATATCTGATACGTCCCCTACCCGGGGACCATATATTAAATTGATTTTTGGAACAGGGAGATGGAATAGGGGCTTGCTCCGTCCACTCCACGCATCGACCTGGTATTGCAGTACTTCCAGGAACGGTGCACTCCCCCCCTGTATGTGTTGAAAGTAAAGAAAACTCCTGTGTTTATGTTGGCGTATTCATTCTGTAAATATGGACATTTAAATACATTAGCTGAAATTGTCAGGCTTAAGTTCATTTAAATTATGAACTATGACATAATTTGCACACCTGCAGAGCTTTGTTTGCAAATATTGGTGTGCTTGAACTTTCTACGGTGTCTTTAATTCTTGTTTATAAGTGGATCTCATTGTAAAATAAAGTGAACCAGTAACTGCTGAGTGACACAAGGTAATTGCCAAAAGGAGATATGTTGTGGTCATAGTTCATTTTCACATTTAAGAAAAGCATAAAAACGTTTTTTCTTTCTCAGTAGATGCTCAACCGGACCTCGTCTTATTGTGTTGTGTAACCTAATTACACGTTAGGTTTGAAATGAGCTGTCATTTCAGTCGGTTTATTATTCTTCCCATAAAGTGAAAATCCTCTCTGCATAATTTCTGATGCTGTTTTTTCCCAGTCTGTTTTTTTGCAGACATATCAGAAGTAAGGCAAATACTCCACATGTGTTTGAGCGTTTTGTTTTCTTCTTTCCGTTAGTTACGCACAGAGAAGCACATTTGTAGATAAATGTTTAATCAACAGTGTTGTTCACACTACAGACCAACAGATGGCAGCAGCAGAACATCAGTTGTCCACCAGCAGAAGGCGAAACAAGTAAATCAGGAAGTATCTGTAATGTGAGGAGACAAACGTGTTTTTCACTCTTTCCACTGATTTTAAAATGCAGATCAAACAATAGTTGATTGCATATTAAAGTAGCATTGTCTGGTGTGAACTCGCTTAGGTTTTGGATATAAAATAAACGGATAATCTGGTTATGTTAGGGCAGCTTTTGATATGGATATACAGCATTGCATGATGGGATATGTGCCGATTTTTCGCAAGTAAAATACTAGTTATTTTTGTCAGCCTTAGTACAAAAAAGTTTCTTGTATATGAACGTCGTGTAGATGATCAGAGCCTTTATAGTGTGTGGTTTTGGTCATGTCTATATATTGCCAGCACCATGAGTTATCGTCGTATGACTGTGAATGAGTGCCCTGTGTGAAAACTGTACAAGTCATACTTACCTGGCAGGGGAGATACCATGATCAAGAAGGTGGTTCACCCAGGGCGAGGCTCAGTCATTGCACTCCGATTGAGCTGACCTCTGCGAATTCCCCAAATGTGGGAATCTCGACTGCATAATTTCTGGTAGTGGGGGACTGCGTTCGCGCTCTCCCCTGATAACCCTGTGGAAAGATAATGAAAAACATGGCTGATACAGAGAAAAATAATATGTGCTTAATACGATAGTATACTACGTTCAATGTTTCAATAGTAACTTCTGTGACGTTATTAAACTGAGCATTGTAACACGAGAGTGTGTGTAGTTGTATTTTAGGCTATAGTCTCATGCTTATAACTGCATCCCATCCGTGCTGATATTCAGTACAACAGCTCGACCTGTTTCTTTCATACATTTCTACCTGCGCCATTTATCAACAGTAAAAAGTGGCAACATGTTATAATTTGTTCGGTTTGTTAATGATTTCTGTGGCTCCGCGAGCACAAATAGTTCAGCAACTGGTCCGAGACTGGACCATTGCCACAAACACATACATATCGGCACACTCGCTAGCTCCTTTGTAACTGATATTCCATTTGGAAAAGGTGAAGGAAAAGCACTAATCAAAAAGAAAATATCAGAATTTTGGCAGAAGAAGAAGTGGGATGAGGACAGTAAGGGCAGAACTTATTACAGAATACAAAACACAGTCAGAGCACTGAGTATTAAGGGAATATGTAAAAGAGAGGAGGTAGTTTTACCAAGATTAAGGTTTGATCACACGGGTTTAAATAAGACTTTATTTTTATTGGGAAACGTAAACTCACGAGTTTGCACATATTGTAATATTATTAAAAATGTTGAACACGTAATTATGTACTGTAGTAAATATAACGAAGAAAGGGTAAGGTTGCAACAAAGGGTGAGAGAGGCAGGACGGGATTGGAATTTGGCAGGGATACTGGGAGATAAGGTGTGGGAAATACAGAGAGGGGTAATAGATTACTTATATAACACTGGTTTATTTTATAGAATATAGCGGTTGGCGTTTCTTTTCTTTTGACTAGATCCTGTCGTACATACTCCGGTTCAGTAGGTGGCGGTATGCACCTTTAAAGTTGGTATTGCAATCCGCCAGAAAACAGTGAGATGGAATAGAGGCTTTTCTGATTTTTTCTGATTGTACTGTCACGATATCATACAGCAGGGAAATTAATATGCAGTATTACAAATCCCTGAATTGGTATAAACCCTTAATTCACCCTATACATGCTAAAATTAGTGTTTATTTGAATGGAGTCTGGTGGGTTTGGCGATGGTGATTTTGGGGCTGTTCTGGATCAACACAAAGGATCTAACACTTTACTCAAAGAATGTTAAGATTGTTTGGCCACTGGTAAAAAGTTGTGAGCCTCTAAAGACCTGTAGTTCTTGAAGTTGTAAAATTCAAATTAAAAATAACCCTTACCTGCATGGAGTTCATTATAACATGCCAGTTTATTACATCACATTGTTAATGGCTGTAGGATGCTGATATTATGCTAAGTTTAATTGATTATACCTGTTGTTAATGTAATACTGTCTTTTATGTGAGTTTAAAAACTGCGCTTTCCCAGCTTTTACAGGCTGGAGGAAAGGACAGTTTTCCCCCTCATCAACTCCACCCCCTAACTATGACTAGACATCGACTGTATCTATCCCCATTTTAGCACCTTTTAACCATTACAACTGCATCTTGTGTATTCACAAAGAACTCTGTTGTCAAAGTTAAACGACATGCAGCTTCAAGGTGAGGTGTTTTGCTTATTGTGTTGCTTTTGCTCTTCAGATCCATTTTGAACAGCTGAATTCCAGGGATGTTAGACGCTTTCTTCCAGGCTCTGTTCATCATGGCATCAGGATTGAGGTGTGTCCAGTGCTACACCTACACTTTAATGGTTTCTTCAATTTTAGCATATTCAGAATCTTATTTAATGTGTGTCATTTCCACAGGGTGAGAGGAAATGTCTTATGTTCTACCTGCCGAAGCTGTTCATTGTAGGTCTTCTGTGGCTCTCAGCGGTTACACTGGGTATATGGCAAACGTAAGTCTGACCCCAATGGCTGCTAGCAGCCTGAATCAAACTGCAAATTATGATGGAACCGAAAAGATCAACTCTCCCTTTTTGAATTTGCAGGGTTAATGAGCTCCAAGACCCTACATTACACATGGCCAGAGTCTAACTAATGAGGTAACTCCAGTGAGCAAAGAACTCAGGCTTCAGACCTCCCTGAACACTCTGTTTCTGACCAGTGTTTTATAGTCTGGTTACAATATGACATCATAGTGTGACAGATTTATTTATATGGTCATCTGCTCCAGGAACATTACTGCAAGTGTTTACATTACCTAGCCTACACTGTTACACGTAGCTACATGCTAACGTCAGGGAAGCATGTAATCTTGGTTGTCATCATTGTCGCTGCAAGAGACGCTGAGATTCGGAAGACCTGGAAATGCTTAGCAAGCAAAGCACGCTGGGCTTTTTCGGGACGGGGCTAAAACAGAGAGATTCAGTCAGAGGGTGATTACAGATGTTCCAGTACAGACAGTATGAGGAAAATATAGTGTTTTATGAACATTAAGTGTGTAAACATGTCATACTAGAAACCTTAAATACAAATATGAACCTGAAAATGAGCACAATAGGGCCCCTTGAAGTATACCATGTGAGATAGCATGTTGAAGTCTTAAATGGTGAGAAATTATTCCTTAACTTCAGACATACCAGCTGAATTCTTATCATTCTACGGTCTGCTCAACTTATAACTGTACACATTGGCATTTGTGTATTCCCCTTCCAAAAATGCACTGTATGGTAGGTAATACAGTACAGTCTCAATATAGGAGGTAATGAAGACAACAGATTAATGTAACTGGATTTGTATCATTCCCCAGACTCCCATTTGAAGCATAATCCTGCTTTCTCCATGCTGAACGACTCAGATGATGAAGTAATATACGGGTAAGCATTTGTTTACTTAAATAATTTTATGTATTTTCACACCTTACAGTTTGCGGTGTAGTATTCAGCATAAACCATTTGATGTTTTCTTTGTCTTTGTACAGGAGTGATTATGAAGACATGCCTTTACAAAACGGACGTGCTATCAAAGCAACCACCAGGTACCAGGATGAGAGTGACAGCGACTGATGGGATTTCTGACCAGCTTGTACCTCTTGTGCGTCCCTGCTGGAAGCTATGAGAGTACAATACAACAAACTATCATGTGTATGTGTAAATAACTTGCAATGGTATTACAAAAATGACATACTGTAAGTGTACATAACTATATTTTTAAGAAAAGTTCCATGTCTACTGAATGTACTGTACTTTTACTGAAAGTTGGGGCATGTAGCCACTCAGACTTTTTCCTTCATTGTTTATTCTTTCAGTCTCATTGAAAACAAAGGAAACAAACACATGTGTAAAACAGTACAATTTTTACCAGTTTGTAAACTTTTTTCCTCGTGACCAGCATTTCTTAACAACCTATTAGTTAGAGATGATGATTTTTTTTTGTTGAATCAATGTTATTTTTAATGCTTTGCGTTGAACCACTGTTGTGTCTCTTTACCTGCGCTGTGTTGTTTTTGCCATTCCTTTCTGCTCTCTGATAGTCTGACAATAATGAGAATGTGTATCTGGCCAAAGCTGATTAACATTATACTGGTAGTAGGAAGTAAAGGAAGCTACATGCTGCAGCCTTAAGTGCACTCTGGTGGTTCACACTATGGCTTGCAAGCACTGACATGAGTGATAAATAGGGAATTAAAGTGCCATAGCAGTGTTGGCTGTCGACAAATTCTCTTTGGCCTCAGACGTGTGTTAAAAAACTCCAGAGAGAGCCTTAGCTGGAGTAGGTGCCACTTATCTCTGACCACTCCTCTTGACAATTCTTCCCTTTGAGAGCAGCTTTGTAATTGCATTTGTTTAAGAGTTTAATTTATTCACTGGTAAGTGACGATGTTTGATAGTGTATTATCTGACGACGTGAATGGATTTTAATGAATTGCATGGATTTTACACAACTTAATGTAAATGGACTACTGATTTGTCACATTCTTTCTCCCTGCACATACAGTAATTATACCATTGGCCAAATATATTTTGCCTTATGTAGAGCATATTATTTTAAGTAGTTGTTTTTTTCCTCACGTAACTTTCCATACCTTGCCTACAATGTGAGACTTTTTTATAAACCTGGAGTTATGGACAAAAACAGCCAAACAAATGTGTTTCCGTTCCTTACAAATAATATCCTAACGTATTCTAATCAAGATGGTGCCTTGTCTTTACATTTCTTATTACTGGGCTGCGGTCTCAAATTTGTAAATGCTTTGAGATTAATGTACATTTTTGATTCTTTCAGTGTGAATGTAGTTTACGGTGGTTAAATGAGGTTGTTATGGGTCCCGATATGTTGGGAGTTCTTTGCAATTTGTGTTGCTTAGTGATATAAAAGCTGTACATGTAGCACTCTTGTCATGTCTCATGTAAATAAAGCAAAGTATATCCAGCATAGTATTGTTTTATTCAATTGCACTTAGTAAAAAAGCAGAAAAATGTATTCAAATACAGTCAACGTGATTGAATACAACATGCAGGATTCTCAATCCTATACATTTCAAACACCCTAGGTATGTTGTAGTTGGCTCAGATGGCCAGCCCAAAAACACTGACGATACAGTACATGGACTTGTTCTCCCATCTCACCGAACAGCTTCCTGTTGGGTGTAATACACGATACATTCAGTGACAGTGTCACCTCTACATTTAATATTTAAAGTCAGTGACCGCCAGCGTCTGAAAGCTGAGCAATCAAAAGCACACTGACAGTCATGACCACTCTAATACATTAAAAACATTACTACTTTACCATCAGTGGAGTTATCCCAGAAGCACGTGCTGGCTGTTTGTAGACCTGCCCCATTTTTCTGCATGATGATACAGGTTACTGTAGAAAAACAAACACTATCTGTTAATACCATCTTCAGATCCCAGAGCCATCAGAATATATTTTGAAGAACGAGATAGCCATGTGCTCGAGGACCGTCTTTATCAAACGATAGTCAAGAAAAAATGCAGGTGCTCTTGAAGAAACATGCATATTTTTGACATTTGGTTAGTGATTTTTCATTTTAGTACAGGGATTCTTTTTTTTAAAGGCGTGTCACTTTCAACATGGCTTCTTTTTGTAATCCATTGCTGCCACCCACCCATGAGTGCCTGAGGTTCATTTTTTCCACCATCAGAATATCAATGTTACACTGTAGCATGACATATACCAATATATTTAAAAGGCTTCCCCAGCTTGCTGAGATGTCTGAGGCACTGCTCCGCCACGCTGGTGGTCCACTGGTTCACTCTGCTGTGCTGGTAGGCATTTCCTCCTATAGTTGCTTCTACTGCCTACACAGACAATTTCAGGAACGTGGTGTTAAAATAAAAGCTGATCATCACACAGAATGTAACACATTTTAATAACCTTAGAAGGATATGAAATCCGTGTCGACCCTGATGTTCCAGCAAAAAAAACCCAACAACAAACAAACAAAAAAGGTTATGTACGGTAATTGTATGTCACAGTTATTGCATTGCTGCAGCCACAAACAAACAAACTGACTTGGATTAAAATGTATTTGAATTGTCAGTAAACAGTCACTTTAGTTAAACAAATGTGTATGTAAATTTTATAGGCAAACACCGCCCCCTGTTGGCCATTTTTATTTGTTGTGTAACGTTTATCGTTAGGTGCTGTGGAGAAGTCTGTTTCTTCGCCAAAATATGTCCCTCCCCCACCGTCCACCTTGACCTGCCCAAACCTCGGCCCTAACCTGAACCACCCAATGGCGGAGGGAGCGGTACGCAGTGACAGGCAGAGAACACTATTGGACGAGGGGGACATTTCAATTTGAATATCAGCTGTCGTCGACAGGTAATCACGTCTTTTCGCAGTCGAGGACTATTTCAGTTAAGTTAATGCCTAAACCAAAGCTGTTTTTGGAGAGCTTCTTCTAATATTGTTCTTTTTAGTCTTTTGGCTTAACATGTTTTGTTGTGAAATGTTATGAAATAACGGTTTGCCGTTGGTTAGTCGCATCATTTTATGGACTGAAGGCGCTAACGGTTAGGCTAGGCCTGCTAATGCTGTAATTGCAAATGGCACCGTTAGTTGTAGGTGCGAGATGTATTTGTGGCATTGCCGACCGTTACTCTGAGACTAACGTTTGAGTTTGAATTAGTTTCAGCTTAGTCTTAAGCGTTAACGTTAATGTCAGTTAGTGTTGGTTAAGGTTGCTTGTTAACTGAATGTTACCCTTAAAGGAGGGTCGAGTTACGCAGTTTTATTTCAGTGACCGTGGACCTACGTTAATTCAGGTAACTCATCTCTAACTAACGTTGGTTGACTAAGTTATTATTCGATGAAAGCATGTAATTTTACCTTGCCTTATAGCTCTCAAATTAAGCTAAATATGGAGTGTCCAGTTTCAGAAATAACGTTACAGTACGCTACGTAATTGTTGCTGCGTGTGGGGTGTTGTTTAACGTTAGCGGCCATGTTGAAGTTCGCTGAAACAGTCAAAGTCAGTTGTAATTTGCGTAGTTTAGTATTACATGTCTACTGTCGCTATTATCACTAGTTGTAAACCAAAATACCATTGAAACAGCTGCTTCAAAAAGTAAACAACTTTCCGGTTTGTAAAGTGTTTTAAAGTAAAGACGTTACATGTTGCCAGTACAACTTTTATTCTGAAAACTGAAACACCAGAAGTTGAAACAGTTCTGCTACCAGTTTGATGCCTCGTTGTCTCGTTGGTGTCCAAATATCGATGGTGTACGCCTGTGATGTTTTGCTGGATCGTATACATTTGTTCAGATTCTAATAAGCTATAAGTTGCCAGTATTAAAAACATATATTGCTGGCTTACAACAGTTGTTGAAGATTTGTTCTAACTATGGTGCAGACTTTGACATCAAATATAATGCCAATAAGAGCAACAATATGATTGTTAACAGTAAAGAAGACAGACAATTAGTATTTCCTGAATTATTTTTAACCGGTGTTGCTCCTAAAGTGTGTCGTGAGATTAAATATCTTGGTCATTATATTGTCAATGATTTATCTGTCGACCTCAGACAGTGTGCAAGTTGTATGCACAAGCTAATAAGCTTGCTCGCAAATGTATCATGTGTTCAGTCAATGTGAACGTCGCTCTTGATAGAGCATTTTGCACTCCTTTGTATATTGCCCCCTTGTGGCGCTCCTAGAGGAAGAGCAATATGCAAGACTTAATGTGGCCTATAACGATGACATGAGACTACTTCTTAATCTTCCACGATGGTGCAGTAAGTGGCAGCCAAATGTTTTTAAATGTTAGTGTACCTACTTGCCCTGCCGTAATGCGAAATCATATCGATATATGTGCAGGTTCTCTGTCTCAGAAAATAGTATCATCCAGGCCTTGGCCACCCCTGATCTGAGCTCAGTCAGGTCTTCATCTAAACTGTGGGGCCACTGGCTCTCCTGCTTGTTTGTGGGTGCAGTGTATTGAATTGTGTAAATTTCTATGAAATTATATAATGTGGTGTTGGGTAATTCTTGTCTTGTATAATGTAGGGTATGTCTTGTATTGTATTATTTATATTGTATTCTTGTACATAGATGACTGTTTTGTGTGGTATGCTAGGGACTTTCTCTTTCCTTATTAAAGTCATTATTATTATTATTATTATTATTATTATTATTATTATTATTATTACTATTAATAATAGTAGTGGTAGTATTGTTCTTCACTAAAGCACAATGTAAAGTGTTTGGCCAAAGATGCTGTGTTTGTCGTTTCAGACTGAGCACAGTGTCCTGTATTGTTTCCGTCACCAGAGGGAGACACAGCTCAGTTTATCATTGTTGAAGCTTTATATTCAGAAGCAGGTGTATATTGTTCACTTTTAACCATACACGCGATCCAGTCAATAGAAATAGTTTTACTTAATCTCAATCGTATATTTTAAGTGAGTAAATGACCAGTTCTTCCTTAATTAGAGCTATAAAGTGGATTTTAACATACCCGTTCGTACTGATGGCTGATTGGGCAGTAGCACATCACGTGACCAGAAATAGCATGAACCCACACTAACTCCCGTAACGTTTTGTAATAAAAGTCTGCGATCGGATGCATTTTTCCGTTGCCCATCAGTCATAAGACATCAAACTGCGCTTTCACAATTTGTTGGTGTGTTTTTGTAGCCATAGAAATCATATTGAACCGCGAGTTAGTGTCACAATGAGGAGAAGGAGTCTCCCACTTGACTCGTTAATCAGCATCGCTTCTCGGCCTTTTGGCTAAGATCAAGTGTAGTATCTGTTCTTATCAGTTTAATATCTGATACGTCCCCTACCCGGGGACCATATATTAAATTGATTTTTGGAACAGGGAGATGGAATAGGGGCTTGCTCCGTCCACTCCACGCATCGACCTGGTATTGCAGTACTTCCAGGAACGGTGCACTCCCCCCCTGTATGTGTTGAAAGTAAAGAAAACTCCTGTGTTTATGTTGGCGTATTCATTCTGTAAATATGGACATTTAAATACATTAGCTGAAATTGTCAGGCTTAAGTTCATTTAAATTATGAACTATGACATAATTTGCACACCTGCTGAGCTTTGTTTGCAAATATTGGTGTGCTTGAACTTTCTACGGTGTCTTTAATTCTTGTTTATAAGTGGATCTCATTGTAAAATAAAGTGAACCAGTAACTGCTGAGTGACACAAGGTAATTGCCAAAAGGAGATATGTTGTGGTCATAGTTCATTTTCACATTTAAGAAAAGCATAAAAACGTTTTTTCTTTCTCAGTAGATGCTCAACCGGACCTCGTCTTATTGTGTTGTGTAACCTAATTACACGTTAGGTTTGAAATGAGCTGTCATTTCAGTCGGTTTATTATTCTTCCCATAAAGTGAAAATCCTCTCTGCATAATTTCTGCTGCTGTTTTTTCCCAGTCTGTTTTTTTTTTTGCAGACACATCAGAAGTAAGGCAAATACTCCACGTGTGTTTGAGCGTTTTGTTTATAATCATTTTTTCTTCTTTCCGTTAGTTACGCACAGAGAAGCACATTTGTAGATAAATGTTTAATCAACAGTGTTGTTCACACTCCAGACCAACAGATGGCAGCAGCAGAACATCAGTTGTCCACCAGCAGAAGGCGAAACAAGTAAATCAGGAAGTATCTGTAATGTGAGGAGACAAACGTGTTTTTCACTCTTTCCACTGATTTTAAAATGCAGATCAAACAATAGTTGATTGCATATTAATGTAGCTTTGTCTGGTGTGAACTCGCTTAGGTTTTGGATATAAAATAAACGGATAATCTGGTTATGTTAGGGCAGCTTTTGATATGGATATACAGCATTGCATGATGGGATATGTGCCGATTTTTCGCAAGTAAAATACTAGTTATTTTTGTCAGCCTTAGTACAAAAAAGTTTCTTGTATATGAACGTCGTGTAGATGATCAGAGCCTTTATAGTGTGTGGTTTTGGTCATGTCTATATATTGCCAGCACCATGAGTTATCGTCGTATGACTGTGAATGAGTGCCCTGTGTGAACACTGTACAAGTCATACTTACCTGGCAGGGGAGATACCATGATCATGAAGGTGGTTCACCCAGGGCGAGGCTCAGTCATTGCACTCCGATTGAGCTGACCTCTGCGAATTCCCCAAATGTGGGAATCTCGACTGCATAATTTCTGGTAGTGGGGGACTGCGTTCGCGCTCTCCCCTGATAACACTGTGGAAAAACAATGAAAAACAGGGCTGATACAGAGAAAAATAATATGTGCTTAATACGATAATATACTATGTTCAAGGTTTTAATAATAACTTCTGAGACGTTATTAAACTGAGCATTATAACACGAGAGTGAGTGTAGTTGTATTTCAGGCTATAGTCTCATGCTTATAACTGCATCCCATCCGTGCTGATATTCAGTACAACAGCTCGACCTGTTTCTTTCATACATTTCTACCTGCGCCATTTATCAACAGTAAAAAGTGGCAACATGTTATAATTTGTTTGTTTTTTTAAGGATTTCTGTGGCTCCGCGAGCATACATATCGACACACTCGCTAGCTCCTTTTATTGTTAACTCGGCATACACTTTACCACAGGCCAGCTGCTGTGTATCATGTAGGTAACATTTGTGTTTTTCCATTTATTTTGAACCAGTTAAATAAGCCTGTTGACCGTCGCTTTGGATGAATACGTTTGACGCTGATGAGTTAACAGCTTCATCGACACGTTGCGTCGTCTTCTGATGTTAAATGAGCAAACCTGGATATTTGCAGTGAAGTGTTCAGGCTTCTTTCCACCCCCTCGTCATTTTCTGACCATTCAGAGTTTAACTCAAATGTTATTTGTGGTGAAATGTTTAATTTTGCGGTGCAAAGTTTATTACGACGACCCTTCATGTCGGCTCATTAACGGTTAACACAGTCAACGGCTCAGAACACCTGTAAGTGATACATGCATAGTTAAAATTGCTTTAATGAAGTGTTGTGTTAATACTAATAAAAGTTGGTATCATATGTAGCAATTTTATTTTATCTTTTATTTATCTATTATTATCTTAATTTTTAATTTTTTTTAACTTTTTTCTCTTTAATCTTATTCTATTTAATGTCCTTTGTTTTTGTCTTGTGCTGCTGTGATACTTGAATTTCCCCCCTGGGAGATCAATAAAGTATATCTAATACCATGTCACACCATAAATGGTAATAATCATGTAAAGATTGCTATGGTAACTTAATGGACACCTCCCCCAAACTGTGCATTTACAATTTGTTGGTGTGTTTTTGTAGCCATAGAAATCATATTGAACTGCAAGTTATAGTCACAATGAGGAGAGAAGGAGTCTCCCACTTCACTTGTCAGTCAGCATCGCTTCTCAGCGTCCACTCCATGCATGGTCCAGGTATTGCAGTGCCTCCAGGAACGGTGCCCCCCTCCCCATTCTGACTGTACAATATAAAGATTATTTTCTAGGAGAGATGCTATAGTGCTAGCATCTCTTAGCCAAATGTATTCACTGTAAATGTGGGGCGCAAGCTTTCTAAACTCACATGTTATGATATAAGTTGCACATTTCTTAAACTTTTGTTTGGCAATTTTGGTGTCTTTGAGCTTTTCTACAATGTCTGTACTTTTCCTTGTAATTGCAGGAGACTGCAAAGTGGAGACACGTCACATGAATCTCACTGGAAACTGAATGGAACCAGTACCTGTTGAGCGAGTCAGGAGACTGTAAATGGAGAGGTGCTGTGTTCACACTTAATTTTCACATGTGAGAAAAGCATGAACGTATTTGTTTTTTCCTGAACAGATGCTCAAACTGGCATGGTATTGTAGTGTTGTGTAAATTAATCACCCTCGGCTTTTAAAAGGAGCAGTGATTTCTGTCACATTATTATATTTATTTCAATCCATTCCATTAGTTTCACACAGAGAAACATAGAGATAGGCTCCGTAAGGGATAATGTATAGTGAGCTGGTGACTGTTGAAAAATAACTCCTAACGAGATTGGAAGGGTTCCAATCACCTGAAGGGAGTTATTTTATTAGAACATGGCTTACTACTAAAACATTCAGTGATGTGACACAAAATAATGATTAAAGCACATTTTATTGATTCAAAATTTGCAAAAAGAAATGTGTCTGTACTCTATATCCATGGCAACGGCAGCCTAATGATAATTAATATTGAATTGGACGTTTCCATTTATAGTGAAGTGAGAGAGGGAGAATGTTTTAGGATGTTGATGTTGATTGTTTTTTCTTCCTCTCCTTCCACCGCGCCATTTGCTGTACCTGAAAACACAATTGTTACAACTGTTACAACTGGCATCAGTATTATTAAATTGAAGACAGTTTAGTGACAGAGGAGAGGCGTTCACCAGACAAACTGCTGCTGTTTTCTGGAGCGGAGGAGAGGATTTTACTCCACTTCTCCCGGTCGGAGATGCTGGGTGCCCAGTAACTGCAAAGGCTGCCCTCACATTTATGGCCAGTGACCGACATGATCTCCCTGCTCTCCAAGCCAGCTTGGGAAAGCAACTGCACAGCCATGGCCCTCAGACTGTGGTTAGTGTATCTTCGAGAGAGTCCAGCGGCCTCGCTGATTCTGGGCAGCATTTGCCTGAGCCAGTTGTGGCCCATGGGCTCCCGAGAGTACCACACAGCCTCTCTGTTGATCTTTTTTAAGCAGGTGCAGGTAAAATGATTAAGCATCAGGGGGACAAAGAGATAAATATTTAATAAATTTGAAGGGACAATTTGGGTTTTGTGGCTCTCCAAATATATATTCTCTGTAAATTTGTTTGCATGGATCTCTGGGATCTTCGTCAATTTTCAATTTTTAGGCGCTTTATTAATAAATGTTGAAGGTGAATCAATACATGATATTTACAGTTACAGTAGATAATGGCAAAAGGAACATTTTTAAAAAACATATTTTTCATTTAAATTACTTTTCCCCAATTTTACATTTTTACTAATACAACGGTAAACTTTTCAAAGCAGACACAAAGATCGAGGTACAATACAAGTTTACAAGATTGTTAAATTACATCACACACTAACTCTCTAATAAAAACATTTTGAGTTTTCCACAATATAATAAGTTCATCACAGCTGTGTTTCTTTTTGTCTATGCGTATGTAGTCTTTGACTAATGTGAAAGCAATCTTCACAGCAGATTCTGGGGATTTAAAGACATTCTTAAATGCTAACAGATTTCTACATTTCCATATTCCATCTTTAGTGCAGTTAATAGCCGTCCACCATTTTACATCTTTACCGGTTTCTTTTGGGTCCATATCACCATACAATATATCATCAGCATCACGACTCCTATGCAAGTCTATAAGCCATGTGTTAACAATTCCCCACACTCTTTGTGCAAATGGACAGTCCCAAAAGAGATGGATTACAGATTCATCCACATGACAGTTTGATCTAGGACACACTGGGATTCTGGTGCATCTCCTTCTATACAGAAGGGCTCTGGTCTGGAGGCAGCCATGAACTGCCTTCCAGGCCAGATCTTTATGACTGTTAAAAAGTGATTTGCAGTTTACATTTTTCCAGATCTGGGTACACTTTGTCTCTACAAAAATTCCCACTGGGACAAGGCCCAAGGAATGGGTAGAAAGTCTCTCCTCGATGTTTTTTCTGTAGATAACTCCTGATTGAGACTGTTCCAATTTTGCAGATTTGAAGATTGTCAAAGCTTTTTCATACAAGGCTAGCCTCGTCTCTGCATGGGGGGTTTCAAGAGGGATCCTTCTACCCATTCCAGCTAAAATCCCATGACCCACCCAAAGTCTTGAAAAATTACACCATAGACTGGCATTATCACTCAACACAGCATTGACAATAGGAAGAAGAAACAAAGCATCAAGTTTGGCACAGAAGTCAGGTACTGCCTTTCCTCCTTTTTGTTCAGAGGCTTGTACATTATTTCTCTTTTTAGCAATTCCTGTTGGGAACAAACATTGCTTTTCTCAGGCCAGTGAGGAAAAAGTTGGGGACTGGTATGGTGGCTGCAAGAAAGGTGAGGGAGGCCAGGACCTCTGCCTTCAGGACCAGGACCTTCCCTGTGATGGTGAGATCTCTTTGTTCCCAGCTGAGCAGTTTCCCTTATATTCTAGGGAGCCTTTGTTCCCAATTTACCATTTCCATCTCCCTCCCTATCTCAATTCCTAGTAGTTTTATTCTGTCTGTTTTTTCCTCCAGGCCAAGATCCAATTTACCCTCCCACCAATTCAGATATAAGATCTCACTCTTGGCCCTGTTTAGTTTAGCCCTAGAGGCACGAGAGAAGAGATTGCACCATCTGAGACTATTAAAAACAGATCTGTTATCACCGCATAAAATACTCAAATCGTCCATGTACAGTGACACTTTGGCTTCCCTCCCTCCACTCCCAGGAACAAGCAGGCCGTGGATAGAGGGATCCTGTTTGATAGCACAAGCAAGAGGCTCTATTGCAAGAATAAACAAAATGACAGCTAGAGGGCAACCTTGTCGAATCCCACCCTGTACCTTAAAGGGAGCAGTATGAGTGCCATTCACAATAACCTTACTACAACAGTTAACATACAATAGATTGATCCAGGCCCTCAGCTGAGGACCAAAACCAAAACTCAACAAAACTCTTTTAAAATAATCATGGTTAATTTTATCAAAAGCCTTTTCTAAGTCTAGGCCTGATATACAGAGAGGAAGCTTGCGGCCTACTGCATACAGATAAGAGTCTTGCACCAGGGAGAGACTGTCACCCATACTTCGGCCTGATACTACACAAGTCTGTTCTACTACACAAGTCTGTTCTACTCGTACATTCTGATCTATTACTTTGTGTAAACAGAAGAAAAGTGCTTTCGCTAAAATTTTGCGGTCAACCCCATATAGTGTGAGGGGGCGCCAATTTTTTATATCTTTTTTGTTTCCCTTTTTGAACAAGAGAGTGATGGAGCCTTCTCTAAGGAATGATGGTAATGTTCCAATACTCAAACTCTCAAACATTTCAAGAAGCGGGCCCTTTAATTCTTCCCAAATGGTCACATATAATTCTTTCGGCAAGTCGTCTGACCCCGGGGCTTTGTTGTTTGCCATACTATTCACTGCTTTTGTTAGTTCCTCTACAGACAGTTCAATTTCAAGTTTTCCATTAACATCAGTTACTTTTTTATTTATTTTTGACAGTAGCTGTGACATGGCTGTTTCATCTAACTCCTCAGATCTGTAGAGATCGGAGTAAAAGGAGTGAACACAGGTAAGTATATCATTCATTTCAGTCTTTTCATTACCATTCCTCTCGTAAAGTGCTTCAATGACATTTCTAGGTTGTGCTAGTTTTCTGAAAAAAAAAAAAAAAAAGTTCATTTTTAATTTGCTTCTATATGTTGTAATCTGCTACGTGTTAGCAAGCCATGGCTAGCTGATACGGAGGCGTTTAAAATTTCTCTTTTTAGCATAGTTATTTCATCGGCTACATCCCAGCCAGCATGAGATAATAAATGAAGCCTTTCCTCTTGCTACTCTTGTACCTTCCTCTATGAAAAATGACTTAGTGCTACCTTTCACATCCTCCCACCATTCCCCAATGGAGTCAAAGGCGAACTGAAGAGAAGACCAGAGAGATAACTTTTTCTTAAATTTTCTAACCACCCCTTCATCTTGCAGTACAGAAACATTAAGCATCCAAGAGCTTTTACCTTGTTCTGTCACATTTTTTAAGATGAGAGAGCAGTTAAGAAGTGCATGATCAGAAAAGAAGACCGGCTTAACTGTGGCTTGGGAGACCTGCAAGCTGTTTGAGGTAAACAGAAAATCAATTCTTGAATGTGTTTTGCCATTGGACCATGTAAAACCAGGTGAGTTGGAGTTAATGGAACGGTATGTGTCAGTGACTTTGAAATCCTGGATAAGATTATTCAAGGCAATGGAGCTAGAATCAAGTTTGACAGCAGTAGTAGATAAACGGTCTTCTTTTTCAACCAGACAATTAAAATCTCTCCCCAGGATTACTGCTCTGCTACACAACAATAATGGCTGTATCTCTTTCATAGTCTCTAAATGCTCTTTAAGCTCAGCTGGACAGTACACATTAATAATTCTCATATTAACACTGAGATATGAGACATCAACACACAAAATCCTCCCATCCCTGATGCACAGTACCTTTTGCACATTAAAGTTAGGACCTTTAAAAAGGATCCCAACCCCAGATGACCTATTTTGGTTGTCACCAGACCACACTGATTGTCCATAAGTCCATCTTTCTTCAAATTCTCTATAATTATCTCTCTATGGGATATTACACTCTTGTACCATGAAGATGTTACTAGGCTCTGCTTGTAGGAAGGTTAAGACTGAAAGACATTCAGCCCTCTGGTGTTGAGTGAAGCAACAGAGAGAGAAGTCATGGAGAGAAGAAAGTGGAGTGCAGGGGTCAGGGGGCAGCTTAGCATGAGGAATTATACAGGTTCAAGCTATTCAAGCACAGACTAGTTTCTGCTTCTTCCTTTTTCTTCTTTTCTTTTCGGGAACCACCCATATGTGTGGTTGCAGAAAAGGCAGACAGAGCCTCGAGGTCTAGAAAGGGGGTAGAGGGGGGTGGGGCATTGGACCATACCTCTACATCTGGGACGTTGATGGAGGGGGTCCCTGAGATCCCCTTGGGCTGTTTCAAAGGTGGTGTGCTCTCGGTGGACGAGGAGGGGATGGAAGAGCTTGCAGCACCACCCGGGGAGGACAGGTCTTGGAGGCCTAGGTCTCGGGGGTCTCAGAGGTCTCTGCAGTCAGATGGTGTGGCACTGGGTGGGCGGCACTCCTCAGGGGCTGAGTCTGGTTGGCTGTGTAGCAGGTCCTCCTGGAGCTGCCGCATCACCTGGAAGACGGTCCTCTCTTGTTCAGTTACCAGCAGTCCCCGCCAGTTCGGATGTACCTCCTCAATGGGTTTGAACTCCCCAGGAAGACACCTGCCTGTCTGGAGCTCCAATGTTGCCTGGCTTGAATAGACCACCTCCTCCTCATCCTCCTTGGCCCCCGTCTCACCTCCGGACTCCTCGCCAGTCACTTCATCAGACTCTGCCTCTCGGGGGAAGAGCGCTGCCTGTAGGTCTTGGCGGATGGTTGACTTAGAGGTGACATGATTGTTGGTCGAAGCTAGGGTTGCCTGGGTTAGTGCCTGGTCATAGGTCGGTGCTGGTGGCACCCGGGTCTGAGGGGGTGGTTGCTCTTGACCTGCTGGCCCTGGCTGAGTCTTGTGAGTCTTGTCAGTGGGGTTGGGTCCCTCTGGGGCTGGCCGCTCCTCTGCTGGTGGAAACTCAGTGTCAACTGTAGACGTGCTACAGCACGGTTGGCATAAGACCGGGGGCAGCTTCGGAAAGTGTGGCTGCTAGAGCTGCAGAGGTTGCACCTTGTTGACTGGTCACAGTCTTTGGTGGTATGTTCAGTGCTTTGACAGTTCCTGCAGAATGTGATGTTGCAGTCGGCAGCCAGATGTCGAGTGGAGCCACACTTCCTGCAGGTCTTTTGTTGCTCTGCATAGAAGACGTAGCCCCTGTTGGGCCCCAACTGGATGATAGAAGGCAGGTGTTGTTGTGGGTACCACCATGGCGCAGGGTGTGGTGTCCTACAAAGAACTTGCCATGCCCCTTACACCGCACGACCATGACAAAGTTCATACACTGACACAGGTGAGAAACCTTCTTGATAATGATATCTCCCCTGCCAGGTAAGTATCTCTGGGATCTTTGTGATATTTCATTTTGGGGGGTTGTGGGAAAGGGTAAAATACTCCACTCTATTTTTATCCGACTTAAGCTTAAATTCATCCCTCGTCAGGTCACGGTTCCCCTCTCTGCCACGTCTGGCTAGATGGAGCTAGACCTCAAACCACACTCTCTTTACCAGCCCGCTGGCTGCGGTTAGTGACATCGCTGCTGATGACCTGATGAGCAGTAAGTCTGAGGCTGAGATGGGGGGATGGTGCTCGCTCACATCTTGCCCGTTTTTGCGGAGGGTTTTGATCACTGATTTGAACACCCCGTTGCTGGATGTGAAAGAGGGACTTTTTAAGGTGTCGAATTTGGAGAAGTGACGGGATATCCCAGATCTGAGAGAGACATAGCTGGCGACAGATTATGGTTTACTGGTAGAATTTTGTACTGATGGATAAAAGGACCTCAGTACCTGATTTAGGCGCTTGGCATCATAAATTTCAAGAGCAGTTTCCATTTTTCTCTCCTCTAACCAGTCTTTTAGCACGTTGATGGCCCATGCTGTGTTTTTTTTGCTGGGGACATGTCATTTCTTAGCCAAAAATCAAGGGTTTTGTCCTCTCCAAAAATGTAAAAAGTGATGTCCTGAAAATGCTGCGTTTTGCCACTCTGATCCTATTTGCCTGGTGTGGACTAATGTTAACTGATTTTGATGCTCCTCAGTCTAAGGCTGTTGCTATGGTGTCCCTAGCAACGGAGCAGCAGAGCAGCGGTGATACCTCAAGAAATAAACACCGCAGAATTTTGTTGATTGAACAATCAGAATCAAGTATTTAAGAGTGCCATGTTCTAAATGTTGAATAAACACTCGGTGCGTTTACATGCACGCAGTCGTCGAGCTAAGCTCATAGCTCTGCTAATCAGTCATGTCGGACCTCTTGTCCTGTCTGACTACACATGCAGAAGATGTTTTGCTCCTTTAGCTGTCGGAGCATGAATGTAGTTTCCTTGTCCGTCTAAAAGTGCTTCTTCTGCTTCTCGATCGCCATGGTGTTTGTTTTTCAGGGAGTTACGGCACTGCTGCTACGTCATCTCTTTCTTCTTCCTCCGGGTGAAAGCCCGTGAAAGAAAAAGTGGTACATGTGCAGAACACCAAAGCCAATCATTGGAGTTTCTCAAGCTGCATGTAAACGTACTGAGTGAGTGTTGTTCACGCTCGAGACCAACAGGTGGCAGCAGCAGAACGTCAGTTGTCCATCAGCAGCAAGTCAAACACAGAATCACAAAGTGTCTGTAATGTGAGCTGAATGTGAGGAGACAAATGTATTTTTCACTCTTTCCACTGATTTTTAAAAAATGCAGATCAAACAACATTTGATTGCAGTTTAATTTAGCTTTGTCTGGTGTGAACTCGCTCAGGTTTTTAGCTCATTTATTGGAAATTAATGGATAATCTGGTTATGTAGGGCAGCTTTTAATATGGATATACAGCATAACATGAGATATGTGCCAATTCTTGTCAAGTAAAATGTGAATAAAATTTGTCAGTCTCATTACAAAAGTGTTGTATATTAACATCCTGTAAATTATCAGAGCCTTTATAGTGTGTGGTTTTGGTAATTGTTGTATAGTGAACACCATCATCATTATTATTGTATAGCTGTGAATGAGTGCCCTGTGTGTGCCTTGTAGATAATGGTATTTTCTCTTATCAGGTATCACTCCTAGTCACATCCTGCCTTTCTCTGCCACTGGTGTAATGAAATCATGGTCTTTGGAATGACAACTACTGGTTGCAGAAGGAATGCAGTTCTGTTTCAACTTCAGGATAACTTGGAAATGGATCACCTCTAGAGCATCAGCCAGACAGAATTTAGCCCTCCTTAACTGGACTATGTGTTTTCCCTGCCTGGAAAGAAGATTTTTGAGGTAATCTTCACAATTTACAGCTTGTTTGAGCAATTCCTGGAGTGTTTTTACCAGAAAAAGGACAGTCCAGCAAAGTTCTTCTGATCCCACTTTCAGAGAGGGAACCAAAAATAGTGACTGTGTGATCATGTACTCTGAAAAAGTTGCAACTGAAGACATAGCCACATGGTTGTCTTTTCATTGTACCTTTTTACGAAGCATGGAAATGAGGGATGAGGATGGAATTAGAACTGGGGCCAGGTGTTTTTATGTGAGGCTGAGGAGAGAAGTTAAAGCTGATTGACTTCACCACTTGCCTTCCACCATCCAGCTGGGACCAATTAGGGGCCATGTGTTTTATGCTGGGCAACCAAAGACCTGCAGGAAGTGTGGCTGTTCATCTCACCTTGTAGCCAACTGCAGCGCCACCCTCTGCAGAAACTGCAGAAATATAGCCCACAACACAGACATGGTGACCGGCCTATGAAATGAAACCTCTACGGGCAGAGCCGGCCCTCCCTATAAGGCGAATTAAGCGGCTGCTTAGGGCCCTGCAGCCACTAGGGGCCCCCCAGATGGATGCATGGTAAACTGAATTGACTGTCTCACACCTGCGCAGACCTGGCAACCCCCTTATTTACAATGAACTGCAACCTAGTTGTTCATAGGGAGGAATGTGAGGATATTCATGTTTGCTTAATAAAAATCTGGCAACGATGACTATTGAGTCAACATCAATCGTCAACATGCATACATGCATGCATGCACGCATACGAAGATGTTGAGGTGGGCATATCTCTCAGGAGCGGAGAGAGGAAGAAAAAAAAAGGTCGAAGAGGCAAACAAACAAGCTCAAGGTAAAGTCAAGTAAAGCAACGTTTGTCACTTGCCAGAATGGGTGATTATGTTAGTATGTGCAATACGTGTTTTTAGAGTGTCTGTTCAAAATTTACAGACCAGTTTGTTTGTTTGTTTGTTTGTTTGTTTGACTAATGAA